CTAACTGCCTTATTTGAATACCTATAAGAAATATAAAATATATGACCCCCTCTCATGCCTCCCAAAGTGAATGCCATCTCTAAAAAAGTACATAATTGTGTTTTATATGCCCTAAACTCTCTGAATAACACAATTAAATTAAAATCCGAGTCGGACACTAAAAATATAAGCATTGTTAGATACATGTTACTAAAATAAAATAATATTCCTATAATTACTTACCCTTTTCATGTGATTAGCAAAACACTTATTAAGTCTACATTTCGGACACTTCTTGCGTGTATTTACGTTTATTATACACTTATTTGTACCAATTTTACATTTTAAATCTTTCTGAAAAATATATATAACATGTTGATAATAGTAATGTATTATAATGTATAAATTGTTATTTATACCCTGTATGCATTTCTTCTAAAAAAGCATTTACACGATTCACACGTTAAGACATCAAAATTAAAACCTTAAATAAAATTGAAATTAAATAGTGTTTATAAATAAGTCGGTTAAAAATTATTAAGAATAGTGTAATTAATTATGTCAATTAAATACTATAAATAAAAATTAAGATATTTTTACTTACCAATGCCTTTATCACCACAAACAACACAAAGCTTTGGATTAGCACTTGTATCCATTAGTTTAGTATTATTTTAATACAATTTAAATAAATATTATTAATATATACTTTATATTGAAACTAAATTTTCTAAACATATGAAGTGTTATTATACAAAATATCTAATAAAAATAGATAATATCATATTTTATATTAATTTTGATAAAATATTGCGTTTCAATGACAACATCAATGAAAGATTTAGGTGCGTTTAAAGTGTACGTTATAATGAATATTAAAATATTAAACGACTAGGCATGTTTCTAAGATATGAATGTACCAACAGAACATTATATCATGGCAACTAATTTAATTTACATGTATTAATTTACACATTGAATCGTTAAATTCATATACAATATTCTGCAGTGAAATGTTGTGGGATATTATAAAGTCGATACAAACAATCTTAATATTCTAGTCTAGTGTATAAATAGTGACGGACTTTCCAAGGACATTTATAAACTAGTTTATTATATTTTTGCTTTTCAAATAAGAATTATCTAATTATTAAGTTTGTTTTGAGAACATTTTTATAATGACATTTACTTAAAGTAAATGAAGTTTATTTGTCATTAAAAAATTAGTGTATTTCAATAGTTCCTAATATTTGTTGTCAATAATTATTTAATAAATCAGAAATGAAAAATATATATTTTTAAATATACAGGATTAAAAAATTTCATTTATTAAAAATTAAATTAATTACTTATTAAAATAAGAATATTATAACAAAGGATTTAGTATGAATTTCTATAAACATTTACAGTACATATAATTATAATGTTTTCATAAATCTCAATTTGAAGTAAAATGATAGCAAATATTTAATCACATTCAATATTACATACATGTAAAGTGAATTGAATATTGAATAAATATATTGAATAAATACTGTTATTGTAATTTATAGTTTGCTTCTATGACGTAAAAATCAATAATTCTTGAATGTCAATTAAAATTGGTCTATTTTCTTATTAATTATCTAGTAGATTCTAGTGCTATCATTTATATTGATAGCTAGAAATATACTATAGTTTACTAATATTCTAGCTAATTAATATTAAAGAATATTCTTTAAGCTTTTCTTAAGCAATTAGAATTTTTCATAGTTATTGTGTGAATGTATTGCAAAGCGTTTTATTACAATAAAATAAAGCATAATTATATGCATGGCTGGTTTGAGGGTAGTGGTTGAAATTTCAGTGTCGGTATCGCGATACAATACTAGCGACACTGAGTATCGGTATCGGTGTCGCGACACCGATACCGATACCGACACTGGTTTTGAAATCCTACCGATACCACCGATACCAACGATACTACCGACACNGGTAGTGGTTGAAATTTCAGTGTCGGTATCGCGATACAATACTAGCGACACTGAGTATCGGTATCGGTGTCGCGACACCGATACCGATACCGACACTGGTTTTGAAATCCTACCGATACCACCGATACTACCGACACCACCGACACTACCGATACCAGCGATATTAATTATACTTTATATTATAATTATTACTTATAGATCATCATTAAGCTCACTAATTGTAATAATTTTGTTTAGTGATTAGTTAACTAGCGTTAAATGTAACAATAAAATTGAAAACCTCATTAGATTGCGCATGCTCACGACACTACCAATACTACCAATACTACCGACACTACCAATACTACCGACACTACCAATACTACCGATACTACCGATACTACCGATACTACCGACACCAACGACACTACCGATACCGACACCGATACTGAGTTTTAAAATGTTTACCGATACCGATACGATACCAAACTACAATTTTTAAGATTTTTCAATCACTATTTGAGGGGTGATAGGGCACAAGTTAATTGAACGTGATTACTGAATCACTAATGTAATTTTAAAACTATAATTCATGATAACCGTTACTATATTTATATTTATTTTTCCCCTTTAATTATAAATGAATATTAAAAATGAATGTAAAAATAGTATTCATTTTATTCAGGTTTATAATAAACCCTACTTTCAAATTATTGTACACTATATATGACTAATACATGAATAGTGTATAAATTACAAAATACTATTTTGTCAAATTTACACGATCGTGTAAATTTAAACCAGTGTTGATTATATGCATGTTTAATTATGTATATGGTGAAATAGAAATAAGTGCATGATATAAAGTGAATAATATTATTTTTTACTCTTGAAATACAAATAAATTTCATGAAAATGTTGCGATCAATAAATGTATTTATTAAAAGATTTTCTAAGAAAATATACGCAAAACGATATTTTAATTAACAAATAATAAAAATATCTTAATTTATAAGTGAATAGAAAAAATAAAATTATAAAAGTATACAATTTTGACAAATAATTTGGACACCATTTAATAAATGTGGTATGATGAATTTATGAAATTTTGTCACAAATTAATAAATTCTCAAAGCTAACATAAATTAAACAACAATTTAGATAATAAAATTATAACACATGGTAATTCAATAAACGCATAAATTTCTCGTTGGCCACACTTTCGGTCCCGTATTTCATAACTAAATACCGTTTAAGTAAATGCGCAGGCCATTCCAAAATATGAATAGACTATGAATAGTGTATGTATAATGTATACAATTTTTTATAAAATTTGCCTCAAACTGGCCTTTTGGAATGCGCTGGTAAATGCGTGTAAAAGTGTTGTTGAAGTTATACAATATTAAAAATTAATTGTTAATTAAATTATTGATTTATTTTACAAACAAAATTTTTTAATTTGTTGAACATGCATTTATGGTATGGCATTTATTAAAATAGATGATGGCAAATGTTTAGAATGAATTAATCATAATTATATAATATATTTTATATTTATTTATTTATTTAAAAATTATTTCTACCATTATGGTTTATTTACACAGATTATGTAGAAACTCATTAGCTTTTAATATAAATTAGCTTTTAATAATATGTATATAATCTTACTAATATACATTTTTATCAAGCTTCATTTGATTCAAATTAATAAACACTTGAGAAATTTCTATTAAGCATTTCAATAAAGTGAGTGATAGTGTCTGTAGTGAACACAATAGGTATGTATTTCCAGGAATGATATGCAATCCAACCCCCGGTCCCCCGACTCATACCGTTTAAGGCATTCGTTAACCAATTGATAAGAAATTGGTATTTATATGGGAGACAAACGCAACCAAGAATTCAGTTCACAGTTTTCACTCAACTATTCATTTCTCAATAATAATACAAATTGTGTATTAATACTAATATAGTATATCTATATAACCATCACTAATAATCAACCAAATATGAAATCATTTATCGGTTTAGCTTTAATGGCGGTGTTGTGTTCGGTCGAGTTGAGCCAAGCGGCCGCTCCGATAACCAATACGCTAAAGGTTACGGACAAAAACCATCTAAAGAAAGATGATCGTGATACCGAGTTCATCTGTGAATTTACCACTACCGAAACAGTTGTTAGAGTTGGCATTTACAAAGAAAGTGTTCCCTACCCTATAATCGAAGTAACTGTTGCAGGTAATTTACGCATTAAATGATTTGTATGGCCGACATTAAGCCTAACGTTTAAACAAAGATAGGTCATTTTCATAATTAAATCACATTAATTTGTTTATTATCTATAGGAACCACATTCACCAAGATTGATAGCAAAATTAATACTGCTACTTGCGATTTTAATAATAAAGATCTTCATAAAGCTACATTTAGTGTAAATAAACTTGACGCACCCGCACTCGAGGGTAATTATTTTTGCAAAGTGACGATCGATGCGGATTATCCATCTTCAGCTGTTACCGTTTACTCTGAATCAGGTACATATATTACAAAATATTATACAGTGTATATAACATAGCACTTTGGAATGAACATATGTAATATCATTTTTATTATTTGGTAACCAGAAATCGCTACGTTCGACGTGACTGTAAAGGACGCGTTGAAAGACAGGTCGACTGAGTTCAATACCGGCGGCCAATTGGACGGCGCGTGCGCTTACGATATACCCGTCGGCGAGACGCTTACCAAATTGGAGATCTTAAGCGCCGATAGAGTGATCGCCACCGCCAATAAAGAGTTACAATTCAGTAAGTGATCGAATTGTTTCGAAATAAATCGAGCATATGCATATTAAACTTGATATATCAAACAAAATACCAAACACCCATGATCGTCACCATAGCTTATCCTAAATACGATGGTTTTACCGATGTTTTGGCCAACAATGACGCGGCAAGCAGCAAGGTGGTTTTTACTGTCAAGGAATTGACCGACAAAAGTGCCGGAGAGTACAGCTGCAGGTACACTGTTGAGGACGGATCCGTAATTAAAATTACCAAGGTCATTGTCTCCAATGTAATTATGGTTACGCACGCCGGCGACCCGACAATTACAGGAGTTATGCTAACCATTGCAGACAAAAATCATGTTAAAAACGACGACCGGGTAACGAATTTCGATTGTACTTTCACCAAAATCAAGGACCAGGCTAATATTGTTGTGAACGTTGTTAAGACTGATGAGAAACCTGCCTTTACCTTATTCACTGTCGATGCAACGGGTAATTAATAATTAATTCATTTGTTTAAAAAAAATTATTCTCCAAATAATTCTAATTTCCAGGTTCTACGTTTAATCAGCTTTCGGGTAGAATTATGGTTGCTGAATTTGACAAAAATAATAAAGATGGTCAAAAAACCATATTTACACTTAAGAAAGCGGGTGCGCCCCAACCCAATGGTGTCTATCGGTGCGATGTGCACGCACCAGGGGCCAGTACAGTTTCATCTAAAACGGTTATCGTTTACACCAACTCCGGTGGTTATAATTCTAAGAACGTCATTTTAGGCCGAAACTCCCTATCACTCACTTTCTCTCTTTCATTATCCGTTTTTTATATCGCTTTATATCGTTAATCATTTTCACGGCCTTTTCCATATTATCTTTGTTTATTTCTGTGTAAATTGTTATAATCGTTAATAAAACCGATTTATTATACATTAAATACGGATTTACTGTATTTGTTACGAGAAATCGCTAACAAATTAACACAATCGCCGCGAATCACAGAGCATTGACCGGACTTTGGGCTCAAAGTAACGCCAAAGCCTTCCCAATAGTGCAACAAATAGCGAACACAAACAATACGCCCGCAACTCAAGCAACCGTCGCTCGGGTTTTTCAACACAACGGCCGCTCCCGTAGTGCGACCGCCGCCACCATTACAGGGACCGCATCTCATACCATAACCTTCCGATCCTTCGGTTAACAGCTCCCCCGAGACAGTCATCAGTCGCACAGGCCGTCTATCCAGCGCTGACTACACAATAACAGTCTGTAGTGTAATCGTTTCAACAACCTATTGAACAACCTCATGAATCATTTTATGAATATTGTGCACAAACTTTTTTTGCGTTTGCCCCACATTGGCCCATTGAAATGCTGTGCAAATGTATCACAATACTAAAACAAACCAGACACTTAGATTTTATAATAATTAATAAACATAAACTACAATTTATACTTAATCAATACCAATAATAAACAGAATATTCTATAATGAATTGAGAATTATAATGAGTTGTTTTTATTTTTGAAGTATTTTGTATTAATAATAAAGGTTATGACAATTTTGCAATCAACAAATGTGTTTATTAAGAGATTTTTAAATAAAATAAACTGAAAACAATATTTTTGTTCACAAAATATATATAAATATTTTATATATAAAAATAAAAATAACCTCTTAATGTTTTAACAACATGCAATTATCAATTTTTATAAATACTATTTTGTATATTAATACAAACATGTGTCAAATATTGATATAAATAACAACGTTATAACATGTGATAATTTATATAAAAGTATTACTCCTCTAAGACCTCCCGAACCAGTGGTCGGTGTGAATGAAGTGGTCTCTGAAGTGACTTATGTTTGCTTTTATTATGTATTAATAGAAAGAAGTGAATAAAAGGGAAAAAAGATCACAAAATGATGCTATGAATTGTGGTTAAAAAGTTAGACATGACCATTAAAACGCGCAGGGGCCACTGTAGGGCCACTTTTGTATAGTGAGGTTATACTTTAGTTATAGCATGACTAATGCTATCAAATATGAATTTGTCTATAAATCGCTATATTTATAACACATACAGTACGGACTATTTGCTATTGCATTTTGACATGAGAATCACTGGACATGACATACAATAAGGCGATGGAAGGGGAATGAAATCTATAAAGAGGAATAGAAAACAAGAGTGGGAGAGGGTTACAGAGTTTGTGGACAGGGATGAATGCTAGTCATTAATATAAAGGAAAGGATTGCATTTCAAAAGTAAACAACGTTACACACAAAATCACAACCGTTACACAACTAGGGGGTGGGAGGTGAAAACTATAGACGGGGATAGAAAACAATGAGTAGGTAACGTGGTTGACGGGTTGTAATCGTATGTATATAAAACAAGTCAATTAATGTATTCATTAAATGCATACACTTCTCAACTAGTTTCATTTTCGGTCCCGTATTTCATAACAAAATACAGTTTAAGTAAATGTATGTAAATTTGTTGTTGAAGTTATACAATATTAATGGATTATTTGTTTATTTTGTAAATAAAAAGTTTGTTACACATATAAAAGTTTATAAGTGTTTAAGGCTAGGACGAAAAAGACCGAAATATAATATGGCCAACATCTAGAATGAATTAATTATAATTATGTATTATATTTTGTATTAATTTTATTTTATTGTAATTTTATAAATGTAAAAATCATTATGAATATTATGGTTTATCTACCTTTGCATGCAATCTTTCTAATATACATTTTTATCAAGTCACATTGAAATATAATTAATAAACACTTGAACAATTTCTATTAAGCATTTCAATCAGACCGGCTGTTCTCTTATATCGTAAGGTATTGTGAATACTCTCAGATAATTTGTTAGAATCTGAATGATTTCAATAAAATTAGTGATAGTGTCTAAATTCTAAAAGTAGAAATAATAATATTATGTCTGTATTTCCATGAGTGGTATGCAATCCAACCCCCGCCCCCCCCCACTCATGCAATTTAAGGCATTTGTTAACCAATTGATAAGGAATTGGTATTTATATGAGAGACGAACGCATCCGACAATTCAGTTCATAGTTTGCATATAAATATTCACTTATAACCAATAATAAACTAGTGTATTAATACTAATATAGTATATCTATATAACCATCACTAATAATCACCAAAAATATGAAATCATTTATCGGTTTAGTTTTAATAGTGGTGTTGTGTGCGGTCGAGTTGAGCCAAGCGGCCGCTCCGACAACCAATACGCTAAAGGTTACGGACAAAAACCATCTAAAGAAAGCAGATCGTGAAACTCAGTTCATCTGTGAGTATACCACTTCTGAAACGGTCACTAAAGTGGGCATTTACCAAGTGGGTGTGGGCCTCCCTATACTTGAAGTAACTGCTGCAGGTAATTTAGGAATTGAATGATTTGTTAGACCGACATTAAGCCAAACGTTTAAACAAAGATCAGGTCATTCTCATAATCAAATCATATTAATTATATTTATTATGTAAAGGAACCATATTCAACAAGTTTGATGGCAAAATCAATAGTGCTACTTACGATGTAACTAATAAAGATTTTCATAAAGCTACATTTAGCATTAAGAAAGCTGACGCGCCCGTACTCGAGGGTAGTTATGTTTGCAAAGTGAATACCGATACAGATTATACATCTCCAGTAGTTGCCGTTTACTCCGACTCGGGTACATATATAAAATACTGTATATGAATGCCTCAATCACATACAAACTTATCTCGTAAACCGTATGCATAGCTATTGCATGCACAAGCATAAGCAGTAACACAGATAAGTTTGTATGTGATTGAGGCATTCATATGCCACTTTGCAATAAACATGTGTAATATCACTGCCATTATTTGGTGACCAGAAATCGCAACGTTCGCTGTGGCGGTGAAGGATCCGGTGGACACAGACAAGCCCAACGAGTTCAAGAGCGGCGGCCAATTGGACGGCACCTGCGCTTACGATATACCCGTCGGCGAGACGCTCATCAAATTGGAGATATTAAGCGGCGATAGAGTGATCGCAGCCGGCGATAAATATTTCAAATTCAGTGAGTGATCGTATTGTTTCAAAATAAATTCACCTTATTCACGTTAATCTTTTCGTATTAACCCAAATAATTAACACGCCCATAATTGCCCCAATAGCTTACCCCAAACCCGAGGGTTTCAGTGACGTTAGGGCCCAGTTTGATAGAGAAAAGAGCAGGGCCACTTTCACTGTCAACAAATTGACCGACAAAAGTGCCGGTGAGTTCAGGTGCAGGTACACTGTCGAGGACGGATCCACACCCAAAATCACCAAGGTCATAGTCTCTAATGGGATAGTGCTAATTTATATCAATGATACGCCGATCGTCACAGATGTTATGCTAACCATTGAGGACAAGAATCATCTTAATAAAGATAACAGGGAAACAGTGTTCGTCGGTACTTTCACCAAGATCAAAGACGCCGCTAATATTGTTGTTAACGTTGTCAAGATTGATGAGAAACCTGCCTTTACCTTGTTCACTGTCGATGCAAAAGGTAATTAATAATTTATTCATTTGTTAAATAAATAATTTTAAATAATATTATAATTTACAGGTTCTATGCTTAATAAGCTTTCGGACAAAATTATGCTTGCTGAATTTGACCCCAATAATAAAGATGGCCAAAAAACTACATTTACTCTTAAGAAAGCGGGTGCGCCCGCACCAGGTGGTGTGTATCGGTGCGATGTGGACGCACCAGGGACCATCACAGTTTCATCTAAAACTATTAAAGTTTACACCAACTCAGGTATTTATAATCATACATTATTAACCAAACATAACACCTAAAGCACCATGATCATATTTCACCGAATTTTAATTAATGATCTTCAGAACTGATTTCCTTCGATGTGGGAGTGTATGGCGCGGACAGAGACCACAATATTGTGGTTGAAATGCACGGCTCGTGCGCTTACGACATACCCGTCGGCGAAACACTTAAACAGTTAGAGGTGTCGAGCGGTGACCGAGATTTTATCAGCGGTGTCTATGCCGACGATATATTTACCTTCAGTAAGTTATAGGCTATAACTTATAGCATTAATTTATCACTTAATCGTTTATTGTCATATCTTAATTTGGTTTTATAAATGTAAAATAT